AAGGACATGATTCTCTACGTCAGCGAGTAATGGCTTGGTCCTGCCGACGCTGGCGCGGCCGCGGTGACAGGCGGTGGTGCGGCAATGGCTTGGGGAGCCTGTCCCTTCCCTGACCCCTGCCCTCCTTGCAGCAGATTGCGCTGCTTCCTCTGGGCCTTAGTCAGGGCTTGGGAACCTGTCTCCCCTCCTCCGTAGTCTTCGCGCCCTGCCTCCTCATCTCCTACTCCTGACGCCCGGCCTTGGGCCACTGCCACCACTCTTTTCTGTAGTTCTGCTTCGCTATCATACCCCAGCGCCGCCAACATGTCTGTGACTATTCTCTTCACCCTTGGGGTCCCGGATGCAGTAGCATCCCTCTCCTTCCTCTTGCGCCTTTGCAGCCTCATTTGGTGCTGCTCCACCTGGTCCAGGCTCCCTTCTTTCACTCCCTTGTCAATGGTTGCCCAGGTGAGCCTCTCGTTTCCTTCCCCATACTTCGTCAACTCTGTGGCCTCCGAGCCTGTAAGCAGCCCCAAAAAATGTGGCGCACTGCGCCTCCTCAAAAATCCCGTGCACTTTCCTCGCCCTTTGCTTGAACTCGTGCACAAATGCCCCAATGGTAGAGAAGTCTTCTTTGTTCATGGCCTCCAAGTCGGCCATGGTCAGCAGGCCGTCCCCCAACCTATACTTCCTTCGCATTAGGTCTCCAAACCTTGCCCAACTGCCACCGGCGGCGTCCACAACCTTAGTTACTTCCCCATGGTGACTGTGCAGGACATACCTCAGGACCCGCTGGAGCTTGACCTCATCTGACAGTCCCACCAGCGCCTGCTCTGTCAGATCCAACCAATCAGATACCCGGTCCCCCTTGAAGTGGAATGTCTCGACCTTTGGGACGTTGCTCGGCGCCCTCTCACGCTTGTCCAAGGCGTCGATGAGGTCATCGAGAGTCAGAAGCTTCCTTCCACTGTCCGCCATCTCCTCTGGCATTTTGGCCAACCGCCTTCAGCTTCAATCTCCCTGTTATAAGATACGATGGGACAGAGGACCCCACTCAGGACTCACCCTTAAATGATCTTATCGGGTTGACCACCTTAGACACCCCACACTCTAGATCTGGCAGGCATTTTTTCTCCCACTCCCCTTGGCTCACCTAGATAACGCTTATCCTTACCATAGAACTTCCTCATCCACATACAGCACTCAGCTGTCAACCAAGCCGCTAATCAATCAATCATTCATCCCCCAATCATATAGATCACCATACAGTCCATCTCATAATCCCTCTTTTTCTCACTCGTATGCCTAGATTTTCCTCACTCTCGTACCCGGATGTCGTTCCACCAAGGACAACGGTAGGCTTCCATTATCCCCGGCAACGGCGCCACCTGTCGGGCGCATCGGTCCGGCACCGCGAGCGGCAGCGCGGGACCCTCTCAGCCGCGTCACGCAGGAGTTGGACCAACCTCGTCGCGAACACACAAAAGGAGCTTCCTTAGGCCGCTCCGGCCGAGTGCGCCAGCCATACCTCTCG